ACCATCACCAGCACAATCACCATCACCATCACCTGCACCAGCACCATCACCAGCACCAGCACCATCACCAGCACCAGACCTAAGCAGGATATTCAGCACTTGAACCTTTTGGTTAATTGTGTGTAAACTTTATCTGCTACACGATGTGACCTGTAAATGTCTACAAGAGAGTGAGATGGGAGAAAATAGAACAGATTAACTTTTTTTTTTTTAAATCCAAGCATGAAAAAATACTTTTTTGTTGTTAGAAATATAGGGAAGGGCAGGAGAAAAAGTAAAATAAATAAATAAAAACTGTGTTATGTCTGAAAACTGAAAGTCAGAAGTTTTGAGAACTAAAAAGTCCCACTGAATTGTTACATGTCAGTCCAGTCTGAATGCCAAAGGAGACTTAATGATTGGTCAAAACCAGAAGGAAGACGTTTTGTTGTTTGTTTTTTAGTGAAATGAAATTAAAAGCAAATGGAGTCACAGCGTGTTTGTGCACGGTTTCAGCTCACTGGAGTCCTGGATGACTGCTTCTGTGATGTCGAAAGCATCGACGTCTTCAACAACTTCAAGATTTACCCTCGCATGAAGAAGCTGACTGAGAGAGACTACTTTAGATACTACAGGGTAAGTGCTGCTGCTGTACACAGTCGAGGATTCAGTGGAGATTACTACGAGTAGGAACTTGTGCCGTCAAAAACTGAATTTGAATCTCAGGCTGAATCTGTACTCGTGTAATTTGAAATTAAATCCATTGGTTGGAAAATGTATTTGGTTGTCTTGAAAATTCAGTTCGACTTCTTTCATTTTCAGTTCTAGAATTCAAGTTCAGTTACAAAATCCAGTTTTTATGTCACACATCCGGGTCCTTGAGAAAACCACGGATTAATCAAACGCGGATTGACAGATTTACGTTTCATGTCAGTGAAACTTCCTTTACGGAAATGTAGGTGTGGGGTTCAGCCTCAAGGAGGTGGTGATGCAACAGAGTGACATTATTCTTGTTGTTGTTGTTGTTGTTGTTGTTGTTGTTGTTGTTGTTGTTGTT